TCAGCATTTGGCAAATTCAAAGCGGTCGTATGTCGTCCAAATATAGTTCTCACTTCTGACCTTACAGAACTGTCCACGTCAGGTGATATTCTTTCAGACAGCTCTGTAACTCTGCCAAGAAGCTCCTGAATAATTTCTCTATTGCTCATTTCTGTCATTTAGGTGAGAGCGATTCAGTATAGATAGAAAATACAAAGTTACCAACCCGCCGAAATTTTGCATATAATTAATAACTGCTTTTGAAACAAACACGTGTTCTTTAACTCAATACTTCATGTTGTTAGAGGAAAACACGCGATATAAACTCGTCATATGAAACTCGTCATATAAAACTCGTCTTATAAATCTCGTCATATGAAACTCGTCATATAAAACTCGTCATATGAAACTCGTCATATAAAACTCGTCTTATAAATCTCGTCACAGTTTATAAAACAACTCGTCATATAAATCTCGTCATACACAACTCAACAATAATAATATAGTTTTCACACCGCATTATAGTAATTTCGAGTACTACTTTACGAATCTCGAATAGGCTTATAGTAATTCTAATACGACTTATAAATCTCGATACACTTTTGGCAGGTTTGGCTTGCCATAGTAGCCTTCCATCTATTTAGTTCAATGGTATTATCAGAGCCTTCTATTTGTAAGAGTTGGGACAACGGGCCTGGGGCGAGCGCGGAGTCGCCATTTTCGTTCCTACAAGTAAGTTAAACTTATAATGAAACTATGTGAAATTTGCAAAATGAGCAAAAAAATGAAACAATTCCGTCTTGTTTAATGGAAATTTTAAATATATCGGAATCTACAATCAACCTTTCGGCGTTTTTGAGGATAATTACGGCAAACCAAACTCAATTTCATGGATTTGAGCTACATTCGAGGTGGACAAGTTTGTGCTTTAGATAATCGTGATGCTCTACTAGGCGTTTTTATGTATGTGAACGTATATATATAGTGCAGTTATATAATACAGCACCAAGACATTTGTTTTCACTGCTTATTATTTACCAGCGATAAAGAAAATACACAGCATCTCAGTTGCATATTCTAGGCCGGGAAAACACGTTACTACACATACGTCCAGATCTGAATCAATGCTTTGGTAGGTATAGGGTAAGTCAAAATAAATCACTGCAGCTCATTTTTGGTTATATTTACAATTCGAAACCGCAGAGGCAAATTAACTGGTAAAAATATATTCTCTAGAAATTCATCACTAATAATCTTGTTCTAAAACTAAAAAGTATTTTGAATTTACAATTGAGCTGCTATAATTTATTTTGACTTAAACTGTGCCTGCCATTCAATCAGTGTTATCCATAGTTGGACTAAGTCTTGTTTTGATGCACGGTAGTCATGAAATTTTGCTTAGCTAGTAAATATTTTGCAATGTGATCCAGTCATGAAAATTTATTGCAGAGAGATTACAAAGGTTTTTTGCTGGAAAATTAAGGACTTAAAATATTTGTTAGATGCAGTGGCTTTAGAACATTCTATCAATCTAACGTGAAGTTGTTGATTTCTTTGTGCTTGTGAAATTGTGATAAGTGTGATAATAGTTAATGTTGAATTATAATGTTGAATGGTATAGGCTTCTATTTGGTGAGGCATTTTTTGAAAAGCAAATTATTGTTTGTGCATTATAAAACAATTCTGTTGTTGACGAACAGTCTTGTTTGCTGCAACAGTTTGTAAAGACTTTGATATTGCATATGAGTCTGATCCAATTTTTAATCTAGCTTAAAAAATTAATAAGTTGAGTAATGACAAAACCTCTGCATGTTTTTCCAAAATATAAAGACCAAAGACCACACAAAATCATTGATAAGCCAATTGAACATGCTCTGGTTTAAAGTATAGACAGCAAAGTATATTTCATTCCAAGTAATGTATTTTACCCAGCTGTTTCAGTAAATATTTTATTTATGATTGCTGATACTATACTTTCAAACGATTTCCTAAACATACAAAATACAAATATTATTTTAGCATATTGGATTAGCCATAATTGTTTGTTGAAGTGTTTAAGAGCTTGTAATTTAGAGTCATTACAGAACACAATGATAAGTCATAATCTTTCTATAAAGCAAAGGCTTGGTATGTAAGAAAACTATTGAATCCTTAGCATTAGGACTAACTTTTCAAATGATTTTTTCTCAAAAACAATCTTCGTAAATAAACCTTTAGGTCAAGAGCAGTTAGATACAATGGTCACTACGCGCAATCCACTATCTATCAAAAAGCCATTTCTTTCTTTTTTCCCGATTCCATGATTCTGGCGATATATAGTTACATGTTTTAGCTTTAAAATAATCATTTATTGTAGCCAATTCTCCAAAAAATCAAAATATTTTCTCAAAATACAAACAAACTTGTAATAATCGCCACATAAACACTAGTTCAAATTTTTAAAGTTAGGAACAAAAATGGCGGAAATTAATCATGTGACCAATACTGTTTAAGCAACGTTCGCAAACCAGAGAACAAGATTTGTCCCAACTTTTACAAATCGAGGGCTCTGAGTATTATAATTGGCCAAAACAAATTTATCATAAATTACAATTAATTTTGAAATAAATTCGTCGAATAAATTCGTGGTGTAACGCAAAGACGAACTTCTGTAGCCTTATACGTCTGCTAATGACGAATAATTCAAGTCAGACTAATTTCATTCGTGTCGACAAATTTACTGACGCTAAACGTCCCATTTTAGACGAAATATAATTGCCCAACATAAAACTATAAATATAATTGCCTAACATAAAACTTTCAATATGGCCATGGGTATATAATTTTATTAACAACTTTTCGTCTTTAGCTTAACACATCTTCAGATTACAATACAAACATGTAGGAAGTTAGAAAACATATATACTAATCATACATTATTTATAGGGTGTTAAATTACAAGATATAGTGATGACAGTGTTGTGCGATTTTTGTATTAAGGGATAGAGTGGGGTTCAATGGAATTAGATAAGATTGAATGGATTTGCCAGGCAGAAAGCGAATTCTTAGTATAAATATAATCCACCTTTCCGACACTCTCAAACACGTGACTACGCACGTGGTGAAAACAGCGCTTACTCGGACAAGCAAATCGGAGAAATTATATAAACTAGTATACACGTGCGATCAACTGGCAAACAAAAGTGGTTTTCTAAGGTTTTATTGTTTCTGTAAAAGGAAAATTATACAAAACAGATAAGATTAATATGTCATCTACCAATTCCGAGCAGATAAATTTTTCGGAACATGAGCGTTGCACAACTGAAGGATTATCTTCAAAGTCGCGGAGTGAGCGTGAGTGGCTACCTAAAACCAGCTCTAATAGAAATTGCTACTGCAGTAAATAAAATGATGCTTCCTTTGATCTCTAATTTTGAAGACAAAGCTGCGTTAGACAATGAGACGATTTGTATTAAGGAAATGGAAGTAAGAAACCCCTTTACTTCACAGAATAATCTTGTGAATAACTTTATGCCACAACGGAGAAGGTCCTTTTTCATGCATTGGCGTCACCAGATTATTCAGACTAAGGAAAATTGTCAAAGGTTCCATGGGGTTGGAAGGCATGCTCCCTGAAAAATGTTTGATTGTGTGTTCTCTAGGACGCTATTTCTTTCAGGCACGTTTTGTAATATTCTAAAAGCCACACGTTTTAAGAAGGGCAGCTTTCTGTTAGATGTTTCAACAAGTGTATTCAAGGCAAGCTTATAGACAACGATGCTTGAAGATTGCTGTTTACTATTTTTACTCTGCTGTGTGACCATTTACAGGAAGCAACTATTTTTGTTGCTGATTGAAATTGGATTCATTGTACACTCCCTTTCATTTCTTTTCCTATTTTCTAAAATCTTAAAATAGGCCATTGGAATAATTGGGAGGAGAACGTCCCCATTAGTTCCCTTCTTGGTGACGCGACTGGTTTCATGCACATGGTCGGTGAAGTGTAAATTAGAGTTTCATATAAGCATGGTCTGTAAAATGTTAATTTGATTTTCATGTACATGGTCTCGTCTAAATGGGATTTTCATGTGCATGGTCTGTAAAGTGTTAATTGGATTTTCTTCTGCATGGCCTGTAAAGTACAAATGGGATTTTCATGTGCATGCTCTGTAAAGTACAAATGGGATTTTCATGTACGAGGTCTGTAAAGTATAAATGGGATTTTCATGTGAATGGTCTACAGACAAGTGTAAATTGAAGTTTCATGTGCATGCTCTGTAGCAGTTGTGGATCTAGAGTAGGTCAAAATAAATTATAGGACATTAAATTTAAAGGACTTTTTAAAAAAGCTGTTGGTTAAAAATCTCAAAAGAATATTTAAGACTAAAATACTCCCAATAAGATTCGCTCCAATGTATTTTAAAAAGGACATCTAATTTTTCGTAATGTAATCTGTAAAGAATAGATTGGACTTCAAAGGAAAAGCAAAGAAAATTAAATCAACAACTGCTGACATAAAGATGATACGAAAGATGCTTTAAATGATATCACGTAATGAACAAAAGAAATTGGAAAAGACAAAAACAACAAATGTGCTCTTTTAAGCAGTAACATAAAAAAGCAGAGTAAATTCTAGTGTTTATGGGAATATACAGAGAACAATGGGTTGGCAGGTAAATGTCTAAATGTCAAAGGTGACCAGGCGGCATGCAGACTGGCATAAAACTGCTTCATCAAATTACAAACAAACGGCACTTTCCGGCAAACATCAAAATGACACTTGAAACAGGACATGGGCATGCTGATAAATAAAATAAGGGTAGACTGCTGTTTAGCGGACACCCGAGGCGCTTGTATGAAGAGCGCTGGCTCGTTTTGGCTTAGGACTATAGGGTTAGGGTTTGGGTCAGCGTCCAAGATGTCCGCTAAACTGCAGCAGTCCCAATAATAGTATATCTTTACAGCATCCCTTGCAAATTCGTAACACGTTTCAATAAGACGGAGATGTAAAAATTAAATAAAGATATACCCTTTTCACAAACCTTATTAGCATCTTGAGGGTCTTCAAGGATTTCATATATTGGCCCAGGATGCTCTTTTTGAGACCTAATTATTTCAATACGAAAGTGAAAATCAATAAATGCTTTAATCCTCAAATGCTGTGGTGGCGCCAGGAATTCCCCGACGGAGGGGCTAAAGTCCCCGACGGAGGGCTGAATACTAGGCTGATGTGACAATGCGCTTGGAAATAAGAATTTACATCTACATGAAAAATTAACACTACGTATTCGACTAGCTTTGAGAGCCGCAACTAGAACGCTAAATTTGGGGATGTGTTGTTTTTTCATGTATTTAATTGTGCCCAAATGATATTTTTAAAAGAAAGTTGATTTGAAAAGAAGTCAGTTTGACACAGCTGAATGTATGAGTATCCGCACCAATCACCGTTGTACTAACAGCTCTGCTATTCATGCATGCAATCCAAGGATATACATATGATTGGCTATAAGAAAGCTATACAAGTAAAAAGAAAGCCCTGGGTTTTCTAGTAATGTTGGATAGTAATAATCAAATAATAATTATCTCCATCAAAGCTTTAAAAACATATTGAACATCTTCTTTAACCTTTACAAAATTGAAAATAGTTCTAAAGATAGCAAATACCATAGTGAATGGTAAAAGTAATATAATAAGTTCATAGTTCTTAAAAGAACTGTTTTAAGTAAAGAACACTAACCCAATAGTTCTAAATTAAACGACACGATGCATTTCGGCAGACTACTCCTCAGGTGTCAACGTCTGCTAAATGAAAATTTACAATCTCCCGATATTTATAATGCCAAGAAAGAGTGTACGTCATCTCCAAAAGGGAGATGACGCTCAAAACAGGGATAAATTAAAAACATGAACCTTTTGTCGGCAGAGGACGGGATTGGTTAACTTAATTAAAACAGCCTCCATGACGCATTGAAAGAATGAATGGCATTTCTAAATGATTCTAAAATTGCCGTCTGAGTAAGAATCAGCACAATGGGAGTTATTCAAGAGATGTTTACCTATCGCTGAGTCACATGAAACTAAATTACTTTTCTTACAATCACGTTTTGGTTTGTTGTCTTGAGGGGCCGTTCCATTTCTGATTGAAGTTGGTACATGCTGTTTGATCCTATCACCCAACCTTTGAGACGTTCTACCTACATAGCGAGCATCACACTCACATTTATATTCATAAATTACATTGCTTAAAAGTTGTGCCGTTAGAGATTCTTTTGGGGTGGGTGGTAGAATAGTTCTTTCCGAAAATATAAAGATAACATTGCTCGCAAAAAACAAATTCTCCGTAATATTCTTAGTTTCTCTTTCAATATCATCAGAGGCCTTACCCATTCATTAAAGTTTGATAAACACAGGGCACTTAGCTGATCCAAAAGGCCTGTTCTGCTCACTTTTTGTGGATGAGATAAGTTTATCAAGCATTTTTTCCGGATATCCATTTGAGAGAAATATCTTTTTCAATGAGTTGAGATCACCCTTAATGAACTCCTCTAATGACAGTCTAAACGTTCGCTTTATTAAACACTTTACTAAAGAAATCTTTTCTCTGTGTGAAAAAAGAGTCAAAGCGTGTGTACAAACCCGTAAAAGTTGCTTGGCGATGAATGCTTGTAAGGAATTGACCATTGCGTTTATGGAAAAAGAACATCCAAAAACGCTAACTGACAATTTGATTCATGCTCAAACGTATAATTTAAAGAAGGGTAAAGAGAACAGAGTTTATGTAAAATTAATTGGCGATTTTTGTCGTTACGAAAAAGGAAAAAGGTGTCGTCAACGTAACGTTTGTACCACAGCACTTCTGGAGGCCTAGATGAGGCAAACATCTTACACTCATAATAGCCCACGAAAATGTTAGCAGGTACTGGTCCAAGAGGAGAACCCATAGCCACCCCATCAATTTGTTTGTACATGATATCATTAAAACTAAACTAAACTCCTCTAGTGGCCGCTAACATTAAGTGGCCGCAAACAGCATGTTCCAACTTCAATCAGAAATGGAACGGTCCCCTCAAGACATCAACCAAAACGTGATTGTAAGAAAAGTAATTTAATTTTATGTGACTCCACGATAGGTAAACATCTCTTGAATAACTCCCATTGTGCTGATTCTTACTCAGACGGCAAGTTTAGAATCATTTAGAAATGCCGTTCATTCTTTCAGTTACGCCTATTGTAGGCTGTTTTAATTAAGTTAACCAATCCCGTCCTCTGCCGACAAAAGGTTTATGTTTTTAATTTATCCCTGTTTTGAGCGTCATCTCCCCTATTGGAGATGACGTACACTCTTTCTTGGCATTAGAAATTTCGGTAAATTGTAGATTGTAAATTTTCATTTAGCAGACGTTAACACCTGAGGAGTAGTCTGCCGAAATGTATCGTGTCGTTTAATTTAGAACTATTGGGTTAGTGCTCTTCATTTAAAACAGTTCAAAAACCATGACCAGCCGACAATTTAAAGAAATATAGTATAAGCAAATTCCGAACAAGCAAGACATCTTGAGATTGCAAAATATGCATCAAGACAAGACGAGAAGTGAACTGTAAATTTTCGACTTTATTTCAAATCAACCTCAGACAGAATGATATTTCTTTTAGGAACTATCAACTTATTGTATTACTTTTACCATTCACTTTGGTATTTGCTATCTTTAGAACTATTTTCAGATTTGTCAGTACGACAAAGTCTCTATTTTATTCCTTTACAAAACTGTAATCAAAGTAAGACGAGGATCCATTAGTTATTAGATATACTATTATTTTTTTTATTGTTTAACTTAAATCCTATGTTTTGGGGTTTTATCTCAGTGTTACCCTGTTAAACTTTTTTGCTGGTGGGCAGTTCTTTTTAACTGCATGTATATAATGAATCAGCGGTGTACTAGAAAATAATTTATAAAAATAAGAGGCAATATTAATAATGCACGAGTAAGATATAACTTAGGTGAATCATTCGATTTGATTGTTTCATGTTCAAAGAACATTTCTACATTTGGAAAACCAAGCGTTGAACTTGTTCACTACGGTAACCAAAACCAGTTTGCTCCCTCGATTACAATGAATTCCTAACATCATTAGCTGTCCAGACGCTTGATGGTGATTTATCAAAGGCAATAGCCACAATACATGTAAAACTGTCAGAACCTGATGCTCATTGCTGTTTTGAAACTCAAACAGTAGAGTTTTTTAGTTTTTTTTTACAAAAAAATTGCCTTTCAAAATTCGAAAGTCGAGTGGCAAAAAACAACCGACATAAAACTAATAGAGGGCAAGCGTCGTGGCGATTGCATATGCAAATATATCTTATGTGGCACTTACATATCTGTTCTCTTATGAACATTCAAAAATAAGTATTTCAGAGTAACTTTATTATTTGATGTCGGATAGCTGGCGTGTGTGAAGATTATTGCTCTGAGTGCTCACAAACGAACGGCAATAATCGACATTGGAAATTACATTGTTTCGTTGTTCATTCCCCAACAAATCATCAAATTTTTCCCAACGAGAGGGTCTTCGACTCTCCGACAGGGGGGCTGTAGCGCCACCTGCCCACCCCTCTGGCGCCACAACTGCTCAAATGTGAACGTGATCTTATATATTCACATTTTTATATACAAAAGAGCGGTGTGAAAACATCTTGAACGATAATTTGAGTATAAATTATCCACGTGCTTCGATATTGAAGTTGGAATCATAATATCCAGCGCAAATTTGTAAATCAGAATATCCAGCGCAAATTACGTGATCAATTATTAAGAATCCGTGTCCTGGTAAACTCCAGTGAGAGCCTGTTTATAAGGAAGCCGAGCTGGCCCACTTAACGAGAGGGCTCGTCAAGCAAGATCTCTATAACTAGTAGATAATATATTAAATATCTCTGCAATAAAATACAATGTGGTGTGTGGGCCTGTATATGTTTAGAGTATCAAGCCCAAATGACTGACCTTCAATGTACACTGTACGATACCATAATGATACATATAGATTTCCTCTTCGCTGTAGGCTGTAGGTGTAGTTTAGTATGTGAAAGTGAATAAACAATGTAATAAATCGGAGTCTGTCTAATGGTTTGTCTAACCTTGAAGTACTCTTGGAGACAACAATTAACTAAAGCATGCACATTCCTTGTAATCGCCGAAATATCTCACTTACGTCATAAAATTCATGATTTTGGAGGAATGCTGCATGTTTGTTGTAGATATTCAAAAATATACACTTCTAAGGAAGTAATCGGATGCAAGTCGTAAGAGATGCTATAATTTGCATTACACATGACATTCACCAAATATTATTGGCTTAAAGACAAAAAATGCCAATCGCTGGAAAGTGAAATACTTCATTGCCAGGAAAATGCCACTTTAAAACAAGAGAAAACTAAACGCTATACGTTGAATCCATCAAGTTTGTATTTACTATAAATCAATTCAAAGCATTGGTTCAATGATAGAGTTTATGGTTAGGGTACAACATTTTCTCTATCAAGTCAACGTACAAATCATAGCAGCGCTTCGACAATGTTTTAAAATCCCCACCCCCATTAGAGTATTTTCATAGTTCATCCCTGGAAATATAATATGTAATGCATTATTTTAGATTCTTTCAATGTCACTGCAACGTTGCTTTGATAAATTACCATTCCATCTTTGAACACCATACTCGAGGACCGATTAAGTTACAGCCACATAAAAACTTTATGAAGTCTTTTAGCTACGTCTTTTGTAATGTAATTGGTTGTGTTATTAATTCACATCAAATCATCATGTGCCCTAACCCCTAGACATTTGAATGATTTTACCTTTTGGAATAATTACCCTTTAACTGTACGATCACAGTATAGTGAATACACAGTAGAGCCACTCTATTCAAATTTTTCGTGCCACGCATATCTTATTACGCATGTGATTACCATAGTGGCAGCCAGTCAATTGCTTTTATTCACCAAAAGGAATGATGAAATGCCTAACGGCAGCCAGTAATCTAATTAAATATACAGCAGCAAGTTGCACACGAAGTGGACCTACAGTATATACCTTAGACTGTGGGTGAGATAATAGTTTCAGATACGAAGTCAGTTAACATATTTTTGCATTTTTTGTGTTGACTTTCGCATTTTCATTACTCGTAAACTGCAACACGTTTTCATCGATTCTCTCCGAGTTTCCAATGGGAGGATTAAAATTATAATTTGACACATCAGCAACCTCCGGAAAGATAGTATTATCGATAATCAAGAGAATATCTTTATGTTCATTTACACTTTGAAAAATCGCATCTGAAAGACGATTGATGTGAACAATGAAGGCCATAATTTCTAGTTTACTACCCTAAGAAACAGCTTCTCTTACATGTTACAAAATAAAGTTAATCTAAGTTTTTATATAAACAAACGGTGTCTACCCGTGACCTTTGTCAGACAGACTCCATTAATTACATTGCTCATTGGTTCTCATTTTATCCCTTCCTCCGCATTTCATTCCCTCATCCGCATTTTATCCCCCGTCATCCGTATTCGCATTATATCCTTACCCAAAGATGATAATCTCTCTGATTATAGATACTAGATGCTTAAAAAAAGTCTCGATTTCGACCGCAAATTAAAGAGAGATGAACGTCACATAACAAACAAAGCAAAAATTCATCTCACTGAACGGGCTATTCAATAAGCGGGTCAGCCCTGCTTCATAAAAACAGCCCCTAAAGTTGCCTTTATTTTTTAGTCGTCAAAATTAGAACTTAAATGCCCCACCCCTACGAAAAAATTTCTGTATTTTCGAAGCTTTCTGGAATGAAGTTCATAAAGTGGAATGAAATTCAATACCTCACAATGGCTTTATTCCAATGGATAATGTAGCCAGACAGTTGAAACGTTTCAATATTGAGAACATGCACATTCCCAGACTTCGTTCCCAGATAAATCCATTTGCTTTGAAAGGACACGCTGGCACAAGATATGCTAGTGGGGGTGTAATAAGAAGGCAAAAGTTATGACGATATAAAACGAAACAGACACACAACTCATTTATTGAATGGACAATGAGCATTTATATGATAAACGGCTTAAGAAAATTTAACGTCGTAAATGATTTCAAAAGCTATAAAGCAAAAAAACGCAGGAGTTTTAAAGCATGTATACAACTTCATGAAAAACCTGCGACACAACAAATATATTTGTCAACTAGCAATGCGATGTTAACGTTTCATGTTAGTAGAGGAATTCAAATAGCAGATGCACGGTAAATAATATATTTGAGTAATCAGAGCTGTTAATTACGCAGCAATAAATCCGTTAACTAGCAGTGGCAATGGGAAAAGAAATAAGAAGCACGGAATAAAAATATCGACATTTATCCGATATATATTGACAACATAGACATAATTATATTCTTTTCGTTAATATTTGTAAAATCAAAATGCATTTTTACCTGTCACGCTTGTAGTTAAAGTGCAGCGAATGAACTATTGCAGGTTTTCTATGCCTTAGATTCCATAAGTGTATGGCATCATCTGAACAAACACTCACCAACGCTCCCTAAGTAAACAAGTACAAACTACAACTGTCGCAAAGCAAGTAGACTGGCAGGAGTAAACAAGAAAAGTCAAGAAAAAGGAAAGTTAATAATTGAACAGCATGTGTTTGACTTGGTAAGACCAAGCGCCTCGTCTTATAATGTCAGTATCCAAAGAATTTGTTTTCTATGAAACTATCTAATTCTTTAAAACAATAAGGCGCCATGCTGCCTCTCAAATGTATATCTCTCAAATACGGTTCTTCTATGAAAGTTTTTATATTTTCATTGACAACTATTTTATCTTATCATACCAAAAAACCCACAATTTCCATTGTTTTCGTCAAATTTAAAAGCTTTTAATATGACAGCCATGTAAATGGTGGGATTTCGGTAAAATGGATTTCTTTTCGTACATGATAATACTTGACCAGTGTAAAAGGGTAAACACTGACGCAATGAGAACAGAGACTCATCTCACTCTACAAAATAACTCGTTTTAATGGAGCGTTATTCACAATAAGTGGCAAATTTTGTGAGAGCACAATAGTCATAAAACATTTAAAATAGATTGTCAATCAAAGATTGTCAATCCTTTGATGTCTTTCCAAAATATATTTGCTTCCCAGTACCAAACGTAAACCAATATAATGTCCACGCTATGCGCAAACGTTTACTCCGCTCTGCGATTGCCAAACGTTCAAAACAGAAAAGAAAACTTGAAGACGCCTTAGAGATAAAATCATCAACCATTAAAGAAACTTTTAATACCATTGAAAAAGCTATCATTTATATCCTCAACAAAGCTTTAACCAAAAACGTCGACAAGAAAATCAATAACCTTCGTCATAACCACAACAAGAACTATGACGGACCTAAAGTATTGTTTTACAGACGCTAAGTAGATGACATATTTTGTATTTTTAACAACGAGGATGACGCTCTCTCTTTTCAATTATTTAAACTTGCAACACAAGAACATTGACTTTACCATAGAAAAAGAACATGACAACAAGTTGCCATTTCGCGACATACTAATTACTAAAAACACAGCCACGAACACATACACATCTACTTTCCATAGGAAAACCTACACTGGCCAATTACTTAACTTCTTTAGCTTCACCTCACAAAAGTATAAGACATGCAGGACTGATTAAAACTCTCACCAGCCGCATACAGAAAATTAACAACACGTCGACTGGCTATTATCATGACTTAAACGCTCTCATTGACAATCTCAAACGAAACTCCTTTCCCTCACTTTCCATAGAAAAAATAATAAAATCATATGACCATGACACAAACACAAACAAAATAAACACCAGAAACGAACCCACGCCTACCCAACTCGAGACTTATTTTATCAAACTACCCTACATTGGCTACATTTCACAAATCAAGGTAACGGAAATTACACAACTTAATAATATGCTACTGCACAAACATAGACATCAAACTAGTTTTTTCATCTTTCAAAATCAAAAATCACTTTAGATTCAAAGATCCTATTCGCACTCTTTTAAAATCCAATGTGGTTTATGAATTTTCTTTTGCTGGATGTAATTCCAGTTACATGTTTGTAAATGTAGATCGTCCAGGTTGGTATAATCCTGAGAAGGACTGATTTTGTTGTTGTTGACTGACGTTTCGTTAGCCGTATTTGTTATCTGGTTCTTACGTCATTGTATTGTGCGTACAGGAAATGTGTATTGTCATTGTGAATTAGTGTGAAGTGAAATATTTTTATTTTTAGTTGTGATGTGTGATTTAGGTGTGATGTTTTTAGTTGTAATGTGTGGGTGTCAATTGTGTATTGTCATTGTGAATTAGTGTGAAGTGTAATGTTTTTAGTTAATCGTTTTTTTGTATTGTGAATAAGTCGTTTGTAAGGTGCCGGTAATTGCTGTGATCTGTTCAGGGGGGTTTGTTGCAAGTTGGTATGCCAACTTTCTAATGTAAGCCGTTGTCTATAGTCAGTACTGAAAGTAATGCATTTTGCCGAGTCCCAGTCAATGTTGTGCTTTGTGATTCGGTAATGTTCGGCAATGTGATTAGTTTTGTCTTGTTTCTTAGTAGATCGTTTGTGTTCAGTAAGTCTTATGTTTAAGTTCCTGTAGTTTCCCCGATATGGGAGCCGTGGCAGTCGGAGCAGTTTACTTTGTAAACTGCACCTTGTTGTTCGTTGGGTTGTTCTTTGTCCTTTATGTTCGTTAGTACTTGTCGTAATAGTCAAGCAGATAAGTGAAGAAAATTGAGTAAAAACTTACTATACCTAGGGGCAATTTTATTTTATGCTAGAATTGTAGTTAAACACCTTAAAAAATCATCCGAATAAGTCGGCGAGCAAAAATGTTCTTGAGAAGGCCGACTAATAACTTTTACTGACTGCGTTTGGTTTGTTTTGAGAAGCGCCATGATTTTTGAATAATTTTGCAGGAAGTGAGACTTGGCTATTTTGATCAATGGCACTTTAATATACTTCATATAAACTACCTAAAAATTATATGTTCGCCTGGCATGTTGTATTGGTTGCATGTATTGTCTGACAAGTCATGTCTAGAAAACGAAAAAATAGACCGTTTGAAGTTGATGTGAGCATTTCACAGTCAAAAGCAGAAAAAAACTCTACATCAAATAAATCGGGTGCATTCTTCAGTGCAGTGAAAAGAGTCCACGTGAATCGTTATTAGGTTCAGTGACACGTCCAAAAATCTATCTACAAAGCTGCAAAGCAACGTGAGGATAAGAAAGTTATTGCAATAATCGATTATTTTGGGGAAGATCTTCCCTTGCCAGAGTACGGGTATCATCGAAAATGTTATAAAAAAATATACTCACGGCAAGTTAAAAGTCAAAAAGCCTATACGTGAGCGACAGCGAGAGTCAACAAGAAAAACAGATCGAAGAGGTATAACTCGCGAATGTCTCTTTATCAGTAAGACGCTAATTATAATTAAAACTTACAGTTGATTAAGTAACTTATGTAAATATATGTAGGTAAGATATTGGCACATCAGGAGTGTTGTGTGTTTGGAAGAAAAAAAACAGCAAAAGAAGGGAGTGGTTATGAGCAATTGGAAAAATGCGAGACTGAAAATGGTGCACGATGTTTGCACGATGCTGCTCTATTTATTCGATTTTCCACATTTGCAAACAGAGGTTGGGAATTCAGAATGGCAGACGATATTAGCAAAGGAATATTTTTACCACAGATCGTGTTGTAGGGAAATCTGCAAAAAGCGCAAGACAAAACCAGTGGCTTCCAGCAAGGCTGAAACCGTTTTTCAGGAGCTATCTGCAGTCATCGAAGAGAAGGTAATCCTTGAGTGTGAAGTTTTGCGGATGGTTGATTTAACTACGAAATATTTAGAAATTCCAGAACGTTTATTTGGTGTTGAACATCAGCTTAGCTCACCAAAAGTACAAGGCTTAAAGATAAGATCCAGAAATATTTTGGTTCAAAAGTTGGGTTTTGAAGTCCAAAGTACGGCAGTGAGTAACAATGTTGAAAAGAGGCAGTTAGTTGAAGTAGCTGTTAAGGCAAAGTTATTAAACTATAAATGGGACGACTTATCGCTGAACGAGAAAACGATGCAAGTTGCCCATGAAATACGTAAAGAATTATTGGAAACTGCTAGTACTTTTAAAAGTTGGCCACCAACAGAGCACGAGCTTCTGTCCAAAGTAACAGAAATTCCAATGTTAACAACATGTTTTTTGGAAAGAGTCACTAGTAAATCAACGAAATCCGCAAAGGTGATGCGTTTAGTGTCTTCAATTGGACCAGATCTGATCTACCACGCCAACAATAGTCGGAAAAAACGTCAAAGCATACAACCTTTCCTTTCTGCATCTAAAGAAAGACAGGCTCCAAAATAACTATCAACTAGACACAAAAGTTTGGCCACGGGATGTCTTATGATGATGTGCTTATTCTTGAAACTTCTCTGGCAATGGAACATTCAAAAGACCAAGTTCACAGGTCCTTCTCTCCAGCCATTATTCAGCCATCTCAATTCGTCACTTTTGTTTAGAATAACAACGACATCAATCCCGAAAGTCTCAAAGGGCTTACTTTGCACTGTACGAATGGCATTGTCATCCAGACATCAGATGTTGTAATAAATGAGCCCTAGCCCTCTTCTGTAGACGCCTTAGTGTCTACACAGTCATGCATGAAACAAAAAACGTAAAAGTTTCAACCTCTTCTAACAGAGATACCTTCGTACGTTCAGGTGAAGCGCAAAAACACAGAAGCCACGACTAGCATTCAGCTATGCATGCACAAAGACGAAGTAAAACTCTCATACATTTTTGATACGCTTTGGATCATCGCCAGAACTCAAGTCAATCAAACAAATTTCGAGCAGCAGATACTTAGTTGGACGGGCTTTAATTATTTGTTGTGCGACAACGACAGCAACAGCTACCATGAAATTGGATACCTGCCGTCGATTAACAAATCTCCAACGTCCCATGATACTGTTCTGGAAATCCTCAGTCAATCAAAGGTGAAGGCAGAAAAACTCGGTTTGATCGAAACAGATGTGTTGCTAGATATGGCAACATACGCTAAGGCTGTGGAAGTTATGATGAAGGTACATAGATCTTAAGCAGTTCGTTGTTTTGCGGCTTGGCAGTTTTCATACAATGTGTATATTCATTGCTGTTATCGGAAAGAGGTTTGCTGATGCTGGTCTTCGCGACATCGTAATCGAGGCAAATCTTCTTGGTGACGGAGCTACTACTCTCGGTAAGGTCCTCTATGTTCTCCTTGTGTTTCACAATTTTTTTACAACCGCTTCTGACGATCTCATCACGTCCATCGTTTCCTTGGGGGAGAGGTTCACAACCTATGCCGATCTGCGTCGCTTGTAGCGGCCCCTTGTGTTGGCGGTATTGCACAAGATTCGTCGGCCATTGCTCACCTGGTGACGTTCCTTCGCCGCACACTCAAAATAGGATCATTTAATAAATAAAAGAGTTTTATGACGTTTGTTGTAATTTTGTATTTGTTTTC